TTGTTTTTTTGTGTGTGTGTGGTCAGCACAGCTAGTAGCATAATTACCCATCCAGCTGTTGGAGATAAAACACCTACCGTGAACTCACAGAGTAACAAAGCTACTTTTATTTCTGTGTCCATGAATAATTCAAGGAAGCGGAAGCATTTGGAACAGGAATTTATCAACATTGAATTTTTTTTTTAAATGTTACTGATAATTTTCAACACTTACTAAAAGAGTTGATTTATTTTTAAACAAATTAATTAAGAGACGAACTATTTTGAAGTTCAATTGAATGTACTACAATGATATTACAATGTAAAAAAAAAACAAAATATAGCCAGAGTGGCTGATTAAATATGAGGAAGCATGGGTTAATCAACATTATCAATGTAGTCCAAGGTTTTTAAACAGAGCTAATATTTTTCATCACTGTTTCTATGGCAGAAAAGATGCCAATGTGACCATAGATCACATCCCCTTCCTCACACACTCTGTTGCTGCACACTCCTGGGTCAGCTGACTGAAATAACACTGCCACATTTTTCCCATGCTGAAAGTCCAGTGGGAATAATTGTTGCTCTTGTTTGAAAGACAGCAATTATATTTTTGTTCCAAAGGTTTAAAAACCATGCAAATATCTACATATTTTAACTTAACTATATTTTTACTCAATGTAATCAAACTGTGAGAGTCTCCTACAAGCTCATGCCTAAATTTGAGTTAAAATTTAACATAATTGCAGTGGAAATACAACTGAATCATCAGCCCAAATTTAAAATCGCACTGGAGATTAATGCAAGAGACTGAAGCTGATAAAAAGATATTCTCCTTGGCTCTTAGTAAATATGAATGCTGATGCTGGTATGCTTGTTTATTGTTTTACTGCAGAAATCAGTTTCTCTTATACTTAAGAATTTTTCAAGGTGTCATCTATAGGAAAGCATTCTGAGTTGGTCTGGGAAAGCTTCACTTTCCCATCATATCACCAAAGAGGACGTGAGTTTGCATTCCTGTTTTTTTCTTTAAAAAAATTAAAAAATGCAATCAATTTACAAAATGTAGTTCAATCCAGCAAATAATGACCCTGAATCTAAAAGACATTATTTGGCATTTTTGTCTGCATAATATTGACTGTTAGTGTGACAGATTATTTATCAGATAGGAAAATAATCTGTTTGTGGCAGCTGTTTTTGCAAATAGGTCTCTGTATATACTGTGTTCAGGACGTGTGGGGACTGCAGAGATGTTGGCTACACTTTTCCTCAAATGAATTGAAGTAAATCTTGTAACTCACAGATGTACATCTCTATTTTCCTTTACGGGGTGACATTAGTTAACATTAAGCATAAGAGGAGGTAAAAAGACAACATGGGTTTATGTTTGTGGGGCATTGACTGAAAATTGTGAATGTGTTGGGGGAAAAAAGCACAAAAGATGCTCAAGGTACATACCAGAAAATGCTTTGGTTCATCAGTATCACCATTCTTCCATTTGTTTGCTTTTGATTTCCTTTACACGGTCTGGAAATAAAATGACGTATGTAAATTAGATAACAGATCTCCCACTGATACATGAACAGAAATGAGGTGTCTGGAGTTAAACTAAATTAAAGTCTATTTTGTGAATTTTATGGAAGAACATAGAATATAGGACTATACAACGGGTTTTCAAGTTCTTGTGTCACTTCAACGGTCAGTGATTGAAATATGCCTTAGCAGAATTTAAAGGCAATTTGAATTGCTACTTTAAGGCTCCCTTCTAATTTGAACAGATTCAACAAGGTGCTAGAAACATTCCTCAGATTTTTGGGAAATATTTACACAGCAACCTCTCGCAATTACTGTGGATCCGCGTAGTCTGCTTTTAGCAGCTCAAGTGAGGTTTTGCAATAAAGTAAGACCAGTTAGATCAAGGGAACATCAGTCAAAAGAGGAATTTGACATGTTTAAAAACAACCGAGAGGATAGAGTCATGTTCTGATACCAAACTGCAAACCTCCAACAGAAATTCAGATTTGTTACATCACCCATTCTTGGCCGGCATGCCTTAAGGGCCAGCTGGTGTGTCTGATTTGCTTCAACATTTGACATTTTGAGGTAGGGGAGTTTCATTTAGGCATGAATTTGCAACATGAGTTTTCAGTTTCTTTTTCTGGTGAACCCAAACTCACCAGAAATCTGGTTATTTTATGTATAGACAAAAATAAGAATAGCCTCTTCTATATAGAAATATACTGCACAGCCTCACTTACACATGCGGGACACAGTCAGAACATCTACAAACAATATTTTTAATCAATTTCTCGATTTTCTCCTGTTACAGTCACATGCCTCGAGGCATGGACCCATGTCACGTCATTGACTGATGCGACCAGGCAGGTGAACAGGTCCCACTAATCTGAGATTTATGAATCTAGCTTGCAATAACAAACTTGCTGTTCCAACTTTGTTACTGCCACTTGTTCTATCAGATCTCAAGTCCAAACCTACACCGAACCACAGATACCGGAGCTGATCGTTTTAGTGTGAACGTGGAAAAACACCTTGCACCATTAGTTATTAGCAACTGACGGCATACACAAACTCAGACAAATAAATCCCACACGAAAGGAAAAACAAGAAAGTTAAAGGAACACGCTGAGTATTAACAGTATAGAAACGACTCAAAGTTTCTTTGGATAGTTTCGCTAACATTGACCTACATAACAAGAGTTTTCGGGTTGCTACCTACGCAGTTTAAACTGCGGTAGGCGCTAATGTTAGCAGAGTTAATAGCTAGTTCGGCTTCATTCAGCCTGGAAGGCTAACGTTAGCAAACAGCGAAAAGTCAAGTTCCGGGCGAGATACACATTTTAGCGTTTAGCAATTACACTGCAATAACCAACGGCAATTAATCCCAAATAATCTATGACTGGGCTTTGACTTTCAGAGCCTGCCCACATACCTATACGCAGAAAACGTCAGTGTTGGTGTGAGCGGGTGGGTATGTTTGAGAGCTTCGGGAAGCTAACAGGCTAGCACCAAAGGGCTGCGCACAATGCTCCATCCGTCAGATCATGGCGGTATGCACAGCAAAGGATGCATTCTCCACTCTTTAGCACAGGCTCGTTTCTGCTGTGTGACTCATTTGACGGGTGATTCATAAACAATGGCTGCTACAGAGCGCGGAACAGGTGTGACTGGAGATGGCAGAAATTCATGTCGGCACTGCTAATATGGAATAAGACTTTCTGCTCACCTCGAAATGCGTGTTACATCCACTTCTCCATCTTGCACGAGAATGTGGTCGGATAGTTTGGATCTCGCGAGAACACCTGCTGCTGGCGCTAACCCAGGGCACTCCCTGGCGATTGTTGTTATGAAACAATTGTTTCATTTGGAAGAAGAAAAGCAGGTTACTTATTTACCATCGCTGCCAGTCTCAGGCTCATGATATATTGCAAAACCGAAAGCACAGAGAAAAATCCCCTAAACAAAGAGCACAGTCAAAAATGGAAGCGTGCTAAGCTTCCTAGAATAAGACACTTTTTATAGGAATTAAATTTCATAAAATCCAGATGTGTTCAGAAATACTTTGTCAATTCCATAGGGAAATTAAAGTTCTTTATAGTTATTGTAGATATGACTATGCGGAGGAAGAATAGCCTGCATTGATTTGTATTACAGCAGATCTGAAGAATTCTTATTGCAATGTCAGCTTGTGAAAGGGAATGCACTCAAGTGACATTATATTCTTTCTGTAATGAAAAATCTATTTTGCAAAATCCTCTCCAAAGCACTTCTGAGAACAGAGCCAGCATTCTTTATCAATTTGTTCAGCTTTTTTATGCTCCAATGCCGCTGCCTCGACAGATAACAGCAAAAGAGGTAAAAAGAGGTAGTACGGTCAACAACAGTCTTGTAGAATATCTGCAACAGTTTGGGGAACCCGAGCTTTTTCAAAAAGCAGTTTGCCATGTTCCTTCTTGTACACAGTCTCTCTGTTTCATGTTCATGTTCACCCAAAGCTTATTTCTTCCATGATGGAGACAATGTTTGTCATTTCTCGTTTTGTAGCTGCAGAGTCATCTGAGTATTTTGTCAGATGATATGATTCTGTCTTGCCCTGGATGTCTGAGATGTGCAGAGTGATGAACAATGATGACAGTATAGTTCCCAGAGCTGCTGACCATCTGGTTAGAAACACAAACTTTCAGTGTTATAAACTGTGATCATCTAGTCAGGTAACTACTGATCTAGTTGGGATTCACCTGTCGTGTGGAGTTTCTGACCAAGCAAATCAAGTTGAATTGGATTAAATCCACTGAAGAAATCAATGAATGATAATAGGTCTGTTGAAGAATGTGAAGATGGGATCTTCAGCTCCACAATTGCAGCTGGTCCAGATATGCGATTATGGTTAGGCAGGTGGGTCAACAGGACACAACGATGATGCGGGATGCCAAGGCAACAGGTCCGTAATTGTTCAGGACTGATGGGTGAGTCCTCTGTATGTCTAAACAAGACAGGATGTTTCCATGGAGGGGCTCATGAGGTGCTACAGAATCCCATACAGCCCTTCAACACTTGTGAGCCAGTCAAAACATATCCGAGCATTCAAGGCTCTTTGAATCTCTCCAGCTGACTCTTCATTTGACTTCTGGAAAAAAAAAAAAAAAAAAAAAAAACAGGTAGAAGGGGGAAAAAGGTGCTTAGCTGAGAATATGACATGTATGCAATAATTTTATACTTTCAATTGCTTGATCTCATCTAAACTTTCAAATGTTTTTGTATGTTCTTGTTTACGTATGAGGATATTTCCTTTTTTGTAACCAGATATTGAATTTATTAAACAGAAAAAAAAATGGCAAAGTTGTTTTTCAATTTAATATTTAACCCGCAGTTCTTTGCTACCTTATTTATTTTGCTTACCACAAACTCTTTTAGTGGATAAGTGACAAAAACTGCTAACAAATACTGCAATCTTAACAGCACCACAAATAATAAAAATAAACTGTCATGAAACAATGGTTTTATGAGTAGATGTGTTTATTACAACAAAATATTCATTGTGTATAGCAGAAAAATACCTAAATCCCTTTTTTTCAAATGTCAGGAAAACAGAAATTTCCAGTATGCGTAATAGTAAACGAAAAACTATTGATGTACCAAAAAAAAAAAAAAAAAATCAAACACATGTCTTTTTTTTTTTTTGAGTAAAGGTGTGCCTGAAATAAATTGTGAAAATGAACTTTGATCTTGTCCAGGTCATGTTAAAACAACAAAAAATAAAAGACACAGCACTCACAGAGGGAATATAAACAATATAAAACTAAATGGATGAAATTTCTCAAGAGCATCTTTTTAAGCACAGATCTAGTTACACTAACAAGACAACATGAACATAATGACAGTTAATGCATACAAATATAAAAAAGAACTATCATGTTTCCCCAACAATGTATCATGTACAGGTTGTTACGAAAAATTTGAAAGTTTTCAAACTACAAAAGAACTTAAATTACAACATATATTTACATATAATTCATATCCTGCAACTTCACAATATTTTTACTCTTAAATCTACACCTCCAACATCTTATGACAAGTACATTCTGTGAAAACATCTCTACATCTGACCAAAGAAAGCTGCCAAAACTTGGTGCGCAAACTACGGCAACATGCAGGAAGCTACTCTCTTTTTTTGTTGTTGTTTTTTAATTTAGCTATATAAATTACAAATCATACAAATATTTACAATGTCAAATTTAAATCTGAAAAAAAAAAAAGAAAAGCTAAAAGAGCAGTGGAAAGTTTTTTTCTACACATTTTAAGGATATTTAACATAATCATACTGAATCAAAAAAAAAAAGTGACAAAAACATGCTACATTAAAACAGGCTAAGAAGTTAAGAAATTCTGCCTTGGTTAATAAATAAAATAATAAATAAAATTAAATGATAGTTGTCATAGAATGGGGATTGTTGAGAACTTTTGAGATGATGTTAAAAGCTTCAAAATTATTATGTGTATAATTGTGGGACTGTTTCAATCGAGGGTTTTGTATGTTTTACAGAGTGAAAAAAAGGAATTGCTTGCAAATAAAACTGAGATAGAACAGCTAAATACAACTCTAAAACTACAAACTGTTTAAATGTCTGCGCTTGAATGAACTTTCCCTTTTAAAAATCTTGCCTAAATACAACCTGTAAATATAACTAACAAGAAAACAACTTTCTTTTGGAATTTTTTAAAAATGAAAAATCAGTGTAAACTTACCTTCAAATTATTAGAAAAAAATTCCTATTGTCAGTATCAAATATGTGGTCGTAAAAATAATCTGCCACATAAAGAGTGCTTCCAGCAAATTACAGCGATTTCACTTCAAATCAGACGTGCCTCTGGAAATACCTTGACGCAGATATAGGTAAGTGGAGTTGGGCAGAAAACTAGTGAAGGGCAAGATATGACGACAGCTGATAACAAGTGGAAACAGTTAAGAGTACAAAATATAGATAACTATTTCGAGTTTCTTCAGACCAACTTCAGAGGTCTCATCTTCATTGTTAATGTCATCAGCCACAAACAAGTATCTCTCACAAGAGAAGCTTTCCGTTGCGGTGAATCTTTAGGATTTTTCCAAGTCTCTGTTTTGCAGTTGCAAGACCTTTCTTTGGCCGTTTACCTGAAGAAAAGCAAAAAAATAATAAACAAATAATTATATAAATAAAGATATAAGAAGTGAAAACAATGCAGCAAATGTGGTCATATTTGTGCCTACCTTGACCGATCCCTGTTATTCCTTGGCTGGCTAAACCTGCAGGAGATAAACCAGCATGGGAGCTGCTGTTCTGAGGTGACATGGAAGGTCGTCGCGAAGAGAGGAACACACCGGGGGCCATGGCTCCACTGCCCCTCGGGCCCCCAGGGCCAAAAGGTCCTGGCCCTGCTGTGTATTCATGGTCTAACAGACTGGCAGAGAAATAATCCATCCTCCTGTCTGGGCTGGCATCTGCTGCTGACTCTGGAGCAGGTGTTGGGGAGGCGGGGGCGGGCTCAGCCTGCGCTGGGGGAGGACTGGCAACGGGAGCAGGAGGACGCTGCTTTTTAGTGTACTTCCTTTTAGCAGGTTTCTGCTGCTCCTGAATCACAACCAGAAGGAAACATGACTCTTTATCTTGTCAATACGGCACATTTGTGAACGTGACATGTTTCTGTAACAACTCACTTGTTGTGCCAACTTGGCAGCAGCTGCTGCGAGTCCAGTTTCTACAGAAGCCACTCTAGCCCCTTCCCTGGCTGGTCGATCTTGTTTAGGAAGTGTGGGCATCACCCTTGCTGTAAGTAAAAGCAACTCATTAAATATTTGCCAGCTTAGAAGAAGATCTTACTGGCACCTCGGCCATTTTAAAAGAAGATACCTTTAGGGCTCCAAGGTGTGTCATCCCAGTTTTTTTTCCTTTTCATCTTCGTCTTGTTAATATGATCTTCCTCATCAGACTCCAAAGAAGGGTAAACTTAAAGAGAATGAACATGTCTTAACTTTGACTAAATGCAGGACACTTTCATGCTTTTATCAGCTTTGACAACGTGTTACAGTTCTCACCATAATCTGAATCCTTAAAACAAGTTCCCAGTGTTTCTTGCTCATCTGGACTGTCTTCGTCACTGATGTGACGGGCCGGCCTTTTGATTGTTCTTTTACCAGGCCGCTGAATCACTGCTTTTTTCTCAGGGTTTGCAGTCTTCTTGATTCCTCCTGTCACCCACACTGTTCTCCCGCCCTTTTCCTTGACGGCTGCTAATCCCTCCGTCAAGCCTCCAGAGATTGATAAGGGAGAGGAAGAGGAAGAAGAGGAGGAAGAGGAAGGAGGGTTGGCCATGGAGAGCATACCCTGGATGGCGTCCCGGGTGCTGGGCGAGGCTGGTGCTTCCTCGCTAAACAAAAAGAAACATAATCAATAACAAGTGGAGCTCTATAATTAAAAAAAAAAAAAAAAAGAAAAAGTATACTAAAGTATATTAAGTGCAATATTATCTGATAATATAGCATTTTTGTGTTAAAAATCCATTTAATAACAAATATTCTAATAATACATTTCCTAATTTATCCTCAGAATAAATCAGAAAAGCACAATATAAAAAACCCACCACGTGTACATTAAGTTTTTCAAAATTCCATGTGATTTATGAACTATGATAAAAGAAAAGCATAAAATAAAATTTCACTTGCTTTTCTTAGCAAAAATATTACTCTCTAACAAAAACATAAACAACAAATTTTTAGACTACAAAAAGAATTCTAAAACTGTCTAAAAATAATAATAATAAAAAAAGGTTCAAGCTGAAAATGTCCATGACACCAATTTTAATAAACCTATCAAAGATCAAGACAACAAACCTGAGAGCTGCAGAGTCTAATCCTGCCACCTGCTTGCTGGCCTTCAATAAGTCAAGGATGCCCCCGGCACCACCTTTCACCCCGTGAGCTGCCAGCGTCTCTTCATCTGTTGTATAGTCCTCCTGAATAAAAACACACAATGACAAAACTGCCATTAATATAAAAAAAAAAAAAACAACAAAAAGCACTTCAACAGCAAAATGCAATACTGCCAGTCTAATCAGAAATTCAGATAAAAATTATTTTATTTCTTTGAAAATTTAAACTTCCCTTTAGGATCAATAAATTATTTTTGAATTAAAAACATACTATTCAAACCATCACATTGGTGAAAAGATAAATTATTTTGTCTTATAATTAGGCAGTAAAATTACTATTTTTCTCCTCTTTGAGAAAACTACTATTTTCTCAAAGAGGAGAAAATAGTAGACTTGTGATAAAGTCCAGCTAATTAATTACAATAAATCTGAGTTTCAGGTTTTCTTCAAAATGTAACAACTCTAAATCAAACTATTTCTATTATAAAATCTAAACAGCTCTTATACAAAAAAAATTATTATAATTATAACATAAATTAAAAATATCTATTCATTTTCTATCTTTTTAATGAGATGCTGGAAAAATTCAACCAGTTTTTTTCCCCAAATGTATGAAGCATAAAAGTAAGAGCTATATCTCTCTCCAGATGTTGATGTGCTTTACAGACAGGAGAAATTTATGCTTTTATTTAGCTAACATCAAAATAAAATCTTTCCCCTTGCAAAAGCATGAAGAATCAATTATAGACAGTATTATTGTAACTATAATAATCAGTTACAATAATGTTATATTACTTCATTAACAGAAGAAACAACTGTTGATATTCTGCACAACTTTGCACATCTTTGGCTTCATGTTTGTGTAATTGCTGTGATACTGTGTTTTTTAATTAAAGGTTATGATATAAAAATCTCTGTTTTGTAAAAAAAAAAAAAAGTCCCCTAAAAATCTCACCTCGATGTCAAAGTCTACCTCTCCTGGCTCCCTGATGCGATTAGGGTCAGAACAAGGTTTGGCTCTGGGCAGCTTCCTTGGTAAACCTGAATGGATGTTTCTGTTCTGTTAGTCTACATTTCTTTGAAACCACAAACTCAATTGTTTAGTTTGCTTTCAAGCAAATACTTGCCACTTAGTTTTTTTTTCTTGTTTGGTCCAGCAGGCTTGCGTCGAGGAGGAGGAGTCTCATCAATCTGCAACTCATCCTCAGACTCCAGGTCAGAAAGACTGGATCCCTCTGCGGCTAGGTGTTTGTAGCTCGCAGCACTTCCTGCACCATTACTGCTGCCATCTTTCTTACTAAGTAATTAAATAAATAACAGGCATAAAAAAACTAATTAAATTTCAGAATGTACAAAATCTTTAACATTTAAAGGAGTATTAACACTCACCCTTGGATTTTGCCATTTGTCAAGACAAGTTTAAGTTTGTTTTTATTCATCTTCCCTTCAAACTCCTCCAATGGCAGCTCCAGCTGCGAAATAAAAAAATCAGAAACAACAGAAAAACCTTCAGAAATGTTAACATAAGAGCTAAAACAAATAGAAGAGAAAGTGCACACCTTGTTCTTGTGCTTGGATTTGCCAGGCTGAAATTTCTTTAGGGTATGTTTGGCATGGATCTCAATGAGCTCGAGTTCTCCTGCTTCTGCCTTAAGGAGCCCTTTCTGACTTTTCTTTTTGGTTCCTGTGGGCCCAAACCCTCCCAGCACCTCCTTAGGCTTGGGCCCTTTCTTTTTTCCAGGGGGGCGTCCGGAGTTCTGGGCGGCGCTCAGCGGGGCTTTGGAGAGTGGAGCACCAGGAAACTGAGGTCCTGTGCGACCAATGTTCTGCTGAAATATATCCTGATAAAAAGAAATGGCAGTTTATAACTAAACATATGTAAATAATATTTTCAAATAGAAATATATATATATAAAAAAAAAATCACCTCAACCAGACGGATCTCCTTTGCAAGGTCTTTTATCAATGTCTGAGTGTTGATGGTTTCTGGTATCTCCATTTCATGCTCAGCTAAGGCCTGAGTGCAGAATATCATCATCAGTAATCTTATACAATATCTGATCAGAAGATTTCAGTTCAATTTAAAGATAAAATATGAACAAGCCTCTCCAAAATATTTTGGACTAATGACTTTTTTGAATACAAAAAAACAAAACTTCTCATTTGTACAGAAAACAAGGTAAATTAATAAGTTTAAAGAATGTTTGTCACTCAAACTAATTTAGGTCTATATTTACTTAAAGACATTCAACTAACATCAGTATTACTGCTGATATTCTGATCTACTAACTTTAGGAATCTAAGCAAACTATGAGTATAATTCTACCTCTTTGCGAGTCCAGGTCCGGAAAGCATTGTTCAGGGCCTTAGCTCCATGAACAAGATAGCTGGCAGGGTGTCTGCGATTTTCTCTCAATCCTGTTGGAGGACAGAAAAAGTTACACCGCTAGAGAAATTGACATAAAAATTTTTTTTTAAAGTGACTAAATACGTATCAAAACTTCTCACCTCTAAAGATATCAAGAAGGTGCTTCCCAACATACCAACACACAGTCTCAAAGTTGGGGAATTTGAACAAGTCGGCTGTGCTCAGTCTCTTCTCTATTTCGTATGCCCTAAAATGACCGAAAGCATATGTTGGACGTCAGTGGTTATAGCAATAATACCTCTGTGCAGATAATTAGTTGGCCTTGTTTAAATGTTTCCAACACGTCTAATGTTCTGGCACAGCAAACAAGATAAAATTCAGTTTGCTGGCTTCCCAGAGACTGGCATTGACTTGGTTGATAATTAAACTGCTGCTTACAACTGGAGACCAGGAGGGAAAAAAAAAAAAAAACAGGACAACTTCCTCATTCGACTTTCTTTCCATTTAAAATTCCTAAACACTGAATCAGGTAATGTCTCAGGTAGGCACTAAGAGGTTCAGGGTGTTAAACAAACGGAAGTTTAAATTAAACTAAAACAGCAATTTATTTGGCCTATCTTGTACATGTCGATGTCTGTGGAGCTTCAGGAATTAAAGTTTAGTAATTGTCGTGTTGTTGTTAAATCGAGATTTCTTAAAAATAAAAGTATTTTCTGGCATAAAAAGGCAGCTACAGCTATTCCTGTTTAAGGTCTGTTAGAATTACTAAAATTACTTATGTTCGCTCAAAGTCAGTAATAATCAAGATTTTTTCCCCTTCTTTCAAGTCTGATATTTAAAGTTATTTTCTTAGATATTCAGCAGAATGCCATTAAATGTTTTTAATGGCATTTTAATGGCAGAATGGAGTTAAATGTTTTTAATCTCCTTCCACAAACCTTTTGGCTCATTCCTCCTGACAGAACTGTACCAGGCTTGTAGGTCTTGGTCACACTGAATTAAAGAAAGTTCTAAAAATATAAGTTTTTATCTGAGACAAAAGTCCCAATTGTCTTGGTTGATAGAGTGAAAAATACTCAAAATGCACAATGCTTCACTTCTTAATTTATTTAACTTTTAATAGTTAGAAAGAAATGATCATGATTGTTTTAAAACTCAAAATTAGGGCTATCGCAATAAGCAATAAATCAGTGTAAATTAAAACAAACTCAATAATTTCCATTTGCACGATTTTTCATTTTCCTGCTATCAACATCTGGATGACAAAATGCTTCAGGCTGATGCCTTAGTCTCAACCAGCCCTTTTATTGAAGAAATATTTTGATACGCCGTCTTCAGAATTTGTTTTATTTGTGGTCTCTGTTTATTTATTTAGGGTTTTTAAAATGTCTTGCAGTTCCACTGTTAAAAGTTCATTAGGATTGATAATTGTGAATGAATGTGTCCTTGCATATTTATGTAATTGTATTACTTGAAAATGGACCTTCAACAAAAATATTAACAATTATTGTAAAAACTTCTGGGACAATTTATTGTCTAGTAAATGTATTCTTGTGAGAGTCCTACACAATCAAATCAGTCAATCATTCATAATTAAAAATTAATATACAGTACTGAAGAGTTATTGGAAAACTGACCGAAGCTGCATGTCAATGTTGAGACTGTGCAGAAAGTTTCCACCAAAGGCCAAGCAGTCCACAGGAGTCAGCACAGCATGAATCCATCCTGTAAAATAGATACTATTAATGTTTACTAATTTAAACTTGGCCCACATTAAGTCACATAGATTTAGAAATTGGCTGCTTATCATTTTAGCTGTATACAGGATACTGACACAGTTAAGTACAGAAGTGGTTCTCAGCAAACATAAGTCAGATTAAATATAGAACACTTAACTGCAGTGCAAATATTCTACATTAATACCTGTAGGTATGAACAGTGTGTTTCCTTGCTTGACAGAACACTTGTAACACATGTCAACCTGATCCCCAAAGAACATCTCATTCTGGTTAGATGAGGAACTCCATCGCTCAAAAAGTGCCAGGTTGGCTGGGGTGGGAGAAATTAGGTAAAAGATTTTCTCGCCCTGAGTGAAAATGGAAAGAACGTTTATTTCATTATAAACACGTCATACAAAAAGAGGCTAAACTTCCCAAAAATACAAAAAAATATGTCATCTCACCCTCAGGACATGGTACCATACTGAAGTGCCACCAAAGTCAATGTGAAAGTCTGTGTAGCTGTCCTTTACTCCCATCAGGCAGTACTTCTGCACATTTGGCCGTTCAAAAACAGACTCTTCAGGCCAGAGGTTCTCCACCCATGAAAGTTTTCTCACAATCTTGGGAGTCTCCACCAAATTTGAGAGCCTATATCAATTTCCAAACATATCAATTAAAGGAGAGCTAATGAAACCAGGTATTCTAATTTGCCACTTCTTGCTGGTACCTAGTTTCAGAGAACTCCAGGCTGATCACATTGAGTACTCTGTCCCTATTGGTGCTGTTGTAGTATTCAACAAAGTCCCCCAGTCGCATCTTCAGGTCGCATTGGCGAGACACGTCAATAACATCGATCTCTTTATCTGCACCTTCAATTTAACAGATTTTAGAGCATTTAGAACAAAGAACCGAAGGCAACATTACAGAGGAACAAAAATATGATTTCGCTGACCAACTACTGACTACTTTTAAAAATATTTTAAAAATATGTTAACTGGTAATAACTTCATTTTCATCATACTCCTTGAACCGCCATCATGATTGCATACTCAATATTACAACAATGTCTGACTCATTTGAAGCAAAAGGAGAAGAGCAGACGGGTGACCGAAGAGTTCTGCATGCAACAAATCTGAAGAGATTTAAGTATGCAGTGCTGTGCCTAAATCTAGCAAAAACGTACCAATGTAGTGCTCCACGTCCGAGACACTGAACGAGGACGGAGGAAGAGTCATGCCTAAGCCATCCCGCCTCAACACCAAGACTGGCACGCTGAAAGAATGCTCTTCCAGAAAGTCGACCGTCAGCTGAGCCCCAGACGGTTTCAGCAAGATTTCATCAGCACTGCAAAGCACAGGACGACTGAATATTTCAACAGTTCACTACACTGTGCTACTTCATAAGTAAAGGAGCAAATACATAACTAAACACCAGACAAAGATCTTACTTTGGGAACGTTCTGCTACGAAGCTCCCTGACAAACTGTGGGCTCCCCGTCTTTACAGGCTTACTGGGATCTCTTGCTACGCCTGTATTTCCATCTGTTTGCTTATTGCCGCCACGTCGTTTGCGCACTAAGAAAATGAAGTAGCAACAATGATTATTCAGTGTTCAACATCAAATAATATTAACTGAATCTTAGAGATGTCTGTTTAACATAAGGAATGGGCTGATATGGTAATCTCAGCCCATGGACATCCCATGATTTGATGGGATGTCCACAAGAAAGGAAGAAAGGTGCATTACAGTTCATGTCTTTCACGATATTATTAACAGCAACATATTTCCATAGGTAATATTGCTTACTCCAGACTCCCCACAGTGGCTTGGAACAGTTATATTTAGTGAAACAAATTCCAATTATCTCCAACAAAAGCATAAAAGAAACTTACTGACAGAAGGTCCATGAGTAACCTGACAATTAGGGCAATGATATTGGTCAATCTCAGCTGCCTTCTCCTCTTCCACACCAACACAGCTAGACAGGAAACAAGAACAAAACAAAGTGGGATGGCTAAATTTACTGAGTTCAATTATTCTTTCTTTAGACACGACTCAATATAGAAAAACACATCATGACACAACACATTTCGAATATTGAAACTTGTGGATTAATATCACCAACAACAACAAAAAAAACCTTACCTTCCATGAAACCAGTCTTGACAAATGTCGCATTCAATCATGAAGCGTGTCACATCATAGGGCAGGCGACACAAGCAATACACTGGCACTGACGCCATATCAAGTCTGTGTTTGCGAAATGATTTTTAATAAAAAAAATATATATGTAATGCAAACAGTAGAAGCTATTTGATAAAATGATGGTTGCGACGGGAAACAACTCTAGCTGTGTCACTTCATTTCCAGACTCCTGTTACAGTCATGTTTAGCCGGGAATGACCTAAAAAGCTGTTAAAACAAAAAATAAACAAGAAAAAAAAAAAGAATTGTCAGTAGCCGCTCATAATATGTGCAAGACTACAGAACTGTGCATGCTAGTTTCTGAGAAGAGTGAAATAGTAATTCCAGTTAGGAAATAATGTGCATTGGTTCAGCTAGCTCAACAACTACTCATGTTTTCCTTTTTTTCCACAATCGGATAGCAATAAGTTGCGGATATGTTACAGCATTAAACTACTTTAAAATGCATTTACAATGAACAGAATCGCTGCCACTGATGTTGCTTCCTGAATTTAACATGAATCACTTTGCTTCTGGTAAAACACGATACCGTCAAAAAAAAAATAAACAAACTCGGTGGCAGTATGGGTAGCTAACTGTTTGTAAACAGTCCGGAGCATTGACTTAAGAAGCGAATATGCTAACGCTAGTCCCATCAAAAAACGGTTTAGCAGGAATATGTATAAATACCTACATATAAAAAAACCCCCAGTTTGTTTTAGTTTCACTCTAAATTGCAAAACACACGTTAAAGCTAATACGACTATCGAGCTGGCTCTTTTCAAGCCTCGTCCACTGGCTAAGCTACCGCTAAGCGCTGGCGACTCACCAACTAGCAGGTCTGCGGCAGGGCCAGGCACTGGAAAGCGGCCGTAATCTCTACGCAACTCCGGAGCTGGCTGCGGCCTTATTATGCAACGTCAATTATTCACACTTTTCTGCGATACATTTTTGTTTAACAACTGTGCAAAGCATATAGATATAGATAAGGTTCGGAAGTTAGCACCAGACCAAGAATTTAGAAGCTGAAGTGCCCAAAAGGTTAAAAATTAAAAAAAAAAATAAAAAAATAAAAAACTAAAGCGCCTTTAACTGCCTCAACGCCATTTCAAAGCGGTTAACGTCAAACCGTTGTTCGTCGTTGTCCGCGAATGGTTGAACAATAAAGTTGTGAACGCAACAACAATTTTGATTTCGGCAGAAAAACTACACTGATTAAACCGTTACCACGGTAACAAAATCATGAAACGTGATTACTTACTTCAATATTTTGCATTATTTAGACTAATTTGTCCAATTAATAAGATTAAATAATGCTTATTTTTATTGACTACTGATTCCTGTTGAAAATGTGAATATTTTTTTAACTAAACTTTTTAGAGGTCGAAAATAACAAGCTGGATCGATTAATTTAAAATGTTTTTTTTTCCCCAAGGATTTATTAGCAGGACTTAGTCTCTGTCAGATGAAGTTCTAGCAATCATTATCATCTTCAGGTGAGATGATTTATTTTTAACAAATTAAACAAAAAATGTAAATAGATATTTATGCCTGATCTTTACAAAAAATTCCACTGGGGATGAGGCGTTATCTGATCTAATAAGTTCGATTTATTAGGATGATAATGAGGGATCATAAAATGTATTTACAAATACTGCTCTTGAAAAAGAAACCCCAAAAAATCAACAAGGAACAATGAATGAATAATCCACTTCAACATACCACAGACTTTCAAAATGTAGTGCAACTTTATTGTTGTGGGAAAAGAAAATACAAAAATACAATCCCAAAAATAATTTTAGTTTTGGGGAGCTGTAAGATTATGATACCTACTTTATTATTGCCCAAATAAAGAAACAAACAAATCAAAATAATGATAAAAGGTACAATGGTTGCTTCTCCCTACAGTTAATCTTAGCTCATTTGGCACTTAGAAAGGTACACCACCTTGCAAAAAATATTGGCTTTTATTTATGTTTTATGAAATTCCAACCACAAAGATGGCTGGATAAGATTTACTGTAATAGACCAGCACAATGCAGTGTATAACTATGTCAACAAGACATGGTTTCGGAAATTTCAGTTGGACAGCTAGACTTGGTAAATTTGATCAGTGCGTTGAGAGATGTCCAAATATCTGTTCAAAACGCAATTCTGCTTTAAACTGTTTCACAACTTTGTGTGTGACCTGTTTGGTCTTCATGATGCCGTTTGTCCTCTCATGTTTTAGCAATGCTCAGAGGCCTTCACAACACAGCTGGATTTATATTTTGGATTCAATTAGACACACCTGGCCTCTATTTCTAAAGTCTGGTATGTTTAATTTATGATTATCATATTAAAAGGGATTGAGTGCAAATTCCTGCAACATTTTTGTCAGTTTTGCAAAATAAAACATTAAAACCACATTCTATTTTCCTTCCACTTCAGTCACTTTGCACTGGTATATCAAATGCAATTCTAAGAAAATACAAAGTTTGTGGTTTAAACATAAAGAATTGTGTCAAAGTCCTAGGTATCAGGTAAAGTACTGTAGTCAAAAGCTAAAATTTAATTGATGTCCCCAAAATATGTCATAGATTTTTTTGTCTGTGTTCTAATATTTTCACAGTTCCCGTTAGAATGTCAAAAACTTCCTTCTGATTTGATAAACGAAAAGAGTTCATTTGAAAATGACTTTCAAACCTTCATCATTGATCCTAAGCTTAAACTGACACTGCTCTGTAAAGAGGCATAAATGTCTTTGCATGGAATTGATGGGAAGTGTGTGGGTTAGAATGACATACTGTGAAACCACAAGTACCTCTCTTTGAAATAAGAATATGTGGGAACAGAAGGTTTTGTAATATTTATTTTTGATTAGTTACAAAACATAAATAAAATCAACAATCAAATTAGTTACAATTTACAGAGGCTTAATCATCAGCAACATACTTTCTGGTATTTCTCTAGATTTCATTTTCCCACCAATACACTTTTATCAGTCATTTCATAGGCATGTTGTTTTGGGACTCCAAAGATTGTTGTTGCGTTACTTAGTGTATTTTAATCTACCTGGAACAATAGGAAAGCTGGTGTCAATTATTTTAGTACAATTCAAAGCTTTCAACAGTGAAGTAAAATGTCCGAAATTGCCAATTTTTTTCTACAAATATAAGAAAAAAACCCCTCATCATGCCTGACAAGGTGTTATATACCAAGTTATGGAGGCCCCATGAAAACAGGGATGTTTTCTCATTTTCATTAACTTTGAGTTTATAATGATGAGCATATTTATTTATTTTTTTTACAGTTTGTACAATCCTGTTCCAAAATACAAAAATAATCTGCATCTTTTAGATAACAATTTGGTTACACTCATAAAGACAAAGTAGGCATCATTGTCATGACCCAAAAAATGTTGTTAGACACATGTTAGTATCAGACATCACAGCACAGTATCTCACCTTCACTAGCAGTGCACTACATCTTTGTAAAAATGTAGGAATTCTCAAAAAGCTAAAAATACAAGAAACCTTTGAATTTATACTCTGCAGCATGTAGTTTCTCAACCACACCCTTTAGTATGAACAACTCCTCCGTAAACCATTTGTTATTTATATTTGATTGACTTTGTGCAATCTCATGTCTTCCAAACCTTGCAATCTCTCTTTAACCAATAAAACTGAATTCTGCTTTGACTACAGAGAGAACTAATAAACACATAGGCAATTTTAAAACATTTCTATGCATAAATGTATTATTAAATCAACAAACTGGTAATACATTAAATGCTGATTGCAGTTGTTGTACACTTGAAATGGGTTTAAGAAAAAAAAAATAGGGTCCTGCAGGTTTAATTTGTTTAAGCTCCACGTTTTCACTACTGATCGATTCAAAGATTAGGACCAAAACCCAAATAGTTCACGGCTAAAATGATCAATGGCAAACAAAATACAGTGCCTTCAAAAACTAGTCATACTCCCCTCACATTTTCTCACATTACAACCGCAAAATTCAGTGCAGTGTACATGCAGTTTTAGTGATATAGCAAACAGTGTGTAGCTGTGAAGTGGAAGGAAAATAATGTTCTTAGAATATTTTTAACATAAAAAACCTGAAGTGAATTTGTGTAGAGCCCATTTTACTCTATCCCCCTTAAATAAATTCCAGTCACATCTGACGTACTGTCAGGTGTGACCTAATTACCGTAAAATCCACCAGTGTGTGTAACTTAATATCAATATAAATCCACTTATTCTCTGAAAATCTCAGAGGTGTGTTTGAGGACATTAGTGAACAAACAGCTTCATGAAGACCAAGAACAACAGCAGACAGGACAGAGATGAAATGGTGGAGTTCACCATTAGTCATCCACTTCACTAATGTGTATATTAAGGTAAAAGAGGCAAGATTGGTAAACTGTTGAAAGAAAGTACGAGAGTAAAACCGAACTTGTATTTAAAATGTGTGATAAATTTATAACACTCTGATTGCGGAAAGCCCAATATGAAAACGGTGGCGACAAGCTGGAGGAAAGCTTTTCATCATCATTGAAAGGAAATCTGGTCAGAGTTGATGAGAAAATTAAACCATGGCGTTAAATATGGAAGCCGCCATTCTTGAGAATCACATGCATGTTCACCTTCACAACAATCCGAAACACACAACCAGAGCTAAAACAGTTTAGATCAGACAATGTTTGTGTTAGAATGGCCTAAAAAGTTTGGTCTCTAGATATGCAAAGCTTTGCTGAAAAACTTGTTCCTTCAAAGTATTAACTTGGGTGGATTTATTCATGTGAATGCTCCACTATTTTGTAGAAAACAAAACTTCCCTCCACTTCACAATTATCCACTCCTTTCTAAATAACAGAAAAATCAAAATAAAATGCAGTAAAGCTTGTGGTTGTTTGTGTGTAAAATCGTCAAAGGGAATTAACGCTTTTATGTGGCATAGCAATAACTCAAAGTGTGAAGTATTCTCAACCATATTTAACATCAAACTTACAACCATTAAGACCTAATAGCTTGTATTACTTTCCGTCGTCTGAGGAGGCAAGCCTAGAACACAGGCAGAGTAAACATTTCCACACAGTAAGTGAGCACAGTGACATCTGAGAAGCTGCTTTCAATGAAGGAAAAAGAGATGCAATTCATTTTACAGAACACAACGCGACTCTCACCGTTTGCTCTTTCAAACAGCCATGCACCCACGACAACATGGTTATCAAAAGTAACATTGAAATAACTAATTCAGCATGGTTTCCCTAGTTTGTATAACCTTGACCTCTTCTTTTTCTCTTTAGCACGACCCAGGCTTAACTTGATATGGAGAAGTCAGATTGTATTTTACCTTTTTAGGCTCCAAACTACACAGAGGTTGTGTGTGTACTGTGGAAGCAACTTCCACTCAGGTAAAATCCCACATATCATGAGGTCTTGCAGAATTGAGTGGAAAGTATCCAGGTGTTTACTGAACACGATTTCAATGAATCAATGTATAATCTTAAACTCGTATTATTACAAAGACAAATGACATGCTGTAGGAAACACAAGGCTACATGTGTTAGATTGCGTCATGGTGAGATGAGAGTAGGCGCACAGATCGACCAAGCTTAATTATGTAATTTTCTGTTTTAATTTATCTTCATTATGTACTGTGCTGCAAACCTAGTTTAAAATAACATATTCAAATGTATCTATTGATCTGGCAATAATCACTGTATCTACAAAAAAGTTGTATGCTTTTTCAGACAAATTGATTAGTACAACACATGCTGATCAACTCAGATGACCATTACTAATTGCACTTTTAAACGTGATAGTTCTTTCACTGTAAGCGTTGGCTAACTGAGCCGAAAATACTGCCACAGTAAAACTATTTGTCCTCGCCGTCTCTGCTTTCAGACGCTCCAGGTCCAGCGGAGTTGGTTTGCAGGTAAAAAGATTTTTTTTATTATTTTATTTTTTTGTATCCAAGGACATCATCATGTGATATGTTCTAAATATTCAGCAAATACTGCAGCCACACTCATAAATGCACCCACTCATACATTAAAGACGTTTACACCTCAACATCCAATCATCTGTAACTCCAGCGGCTGAATTTTATATTAATCTGTTATTTTTTGCTTCACAGGAGCCTCCTTTCCTC